TAAAATGTACTAAATACAACAATCCTATACAGAGGATATAGGCAAAGACAAAGCATGCCTAACCTACCGTGCCCTTCCACTTTTTCATACCCGTCTTAAATTTGAATTTCCTACATGGCAAAACAAAAAAGACAGGGTTTTATTCAATATTAACCAACTCTAGCCAGACAGCAACTCACTGTGATGCACACATGGCTTTTAATTACAAAGCTGTCTGTAGGCCCAGAGATGAGATAGCCAAGAGTGCTTTTTATTTCATAAAGGAGAAAACCTCTTCAAGAACATCTCAGAAGTAGTTCCAAATCCACAGCAGCCAGCAATTAATTCAGCCATACCAAGCTTGTCTGTCTGTGTTGTTACGCTAGAATAGAACCTCGCTTCATCTTCCTAACACCTTGTCCTAAAAAAAAATAAATAAATAAAGGCTTAGGGCAGCAAGGGACAGGGCTTAGTGTTCAGCGTACACTAAAAGCAACGTATTAACTCTGCATTGGCAAACGTTTGGGATTTCCAGTAAGTTACCTGAAGTTTCTAAGAAACCAAAAAACATGCTGGTCTTTCCTTTAATGCTTTTGTATCGCACACAGGATTTTAAAAGTTCCTTCAGCAGATGCACTACCTCTACCAAAGCTAACCTCGTGCCAGATTCTGCCTTTACAGATAGAAGTCATCTTCTGTCTTGTTTTTCTTCATGGAAACCCATGTATATTCACCCCCATAAAGTTAACAGAGAACCATTTACAAGAGAATCCCTGAACAAGTAAAACAAGAGGTTCAAGCAGAGAAGCAGCAATTTTTTGAACCAGATAATCCAGGTTACCAAAACCGAATGCAATCTTTGAAGAAAGCGTAACAGGAGACACAAGGGATAGTTGCAGCCATCAGTGCGAGACCTACAGCGGAAGGCATTGAGCCTCGGGCATCGGAGGGGTTCGGTATGAACGAGAACCTCTGGATCCAGATCCACCAGAGAGATGTTTTCTCTCCCTTTACAGGCTCCTTCACAAAGGCTGGATCAAAGCATTATCAAAATAACCACAAAAAAACTGATGAAAATGAGCAAGAGCTGCACATTGTAATAACAGCCGAACTCATAAAGCCCTCAGGAGTTGCCATGAATGTCTACCAGGCTATTCCCAAGGCAATTTCAACTCCATCCCCTTAAGCAGTTGTTTAACTTCAGAACAAACAAAAACCCAAAAAGCAACCTACATACAAGTAAGATTACACAAGCAGGTACGGGAATGGCAAACTGCAAGTTGAACTTGCAGGTAACTGGAAGCGATGCAGGTTTATTTTAAAATATCACAAGCAATCATGTTATTTGCCTATAATAATTTTGTTTGTTCGTGAAAAAACGTAGCCTTGAACTAAAGGCTAAATAACTTAAAGCTAAAAGCAGCTTTAGAAGCACCTTGATTCAGCAGTTTCAGTTACATCCTGGAAAAGTGAGTCACAGATATAATAACCTAATGGGCGGGGTAACACTTGATTTTGCAGAGTGATCCTCTAAGGGATATCAATGCAAAAAGAAACACTTTGGGCTTAGTAACGGCATTGTTAAGTTATGCATTTCTAAGGAAGTATATGCATAAAAGGAGTCTAGGTGGGGTATCATAAAAGTAAAAAAGTAAAAAAGAAAGAAAAAGTGTTATCAGCAGGTAAGAAGTTAACAAGAGACATAACAGTAAGTTACAGTATAAATTAACAACTCAATTGGAGTTGAGACAGAGATAACTTTGAAAGTCAAAAGTTAACACAGTGCACGATCAAATTTGAAGTTAGAACTAGCATTTAAGAGTTGGGGGGGGGATAAATAGAAATCTATGTCTAAATGCAACAACTGCTAATTTAAGAGTGGAACCAATGGATACCAATCATGTCTGGAGCTCTGGTGACAGTTGTTTAGCATAGTAACTTGGATGCGTAAGAAAGCAGAAATGCAATAAATGGAAATAACGCAACTAAAGTAAGGCAAGCAAGGAAAATGTTCTAGCTTGGGTAACTAAAACAGCCATCAGTAACCGTCCTGGCTAATTTTGTCTTCCACAGATAGCATGGAAGAGAAAGTAAACCACTTCAGCCGTATGAGTATTGTTAACTATACATTGCTTAGTTCTGCTTTTGCTGGTTTTGGTTTCATTAAATGTGCACATACAAAAAGGGAAAGATATAATTCCTTCCAGATTTATTGCCATAGCTGAAGCTTGAAGTTAAAAAACAAGAGGAAAATATGAGCAAATAAAGGTAATGGAGAAAAATGGATCTGATAAAAGTTGGCTTTATTGCCAAGAGAAACAAGTTTATCTTGTTGGGGACAGATGTGTTTCCTATGATTAATAGCAATGAGTGGAAAAAAGTGAGCGTCTCTGTTTCCACCATTTTGAGGATTATTAGAAATGATTACAAAGAATCAGTAACATGGTTTGAGTCTTAAGATGCAGAGAATAATGCTGCGTTATAAAGAGAAGTTTTCTTTTTCAAAAGATGTACTACTAACAGTGGACTAAAAATTATACCACCAGAATTGACCAGAATACTCTGACTCCACATGGATTAAAATTAATGTAACCAAGAACGGATAAAGGAGAAATATCAAATCTTGGAACTTCTCAAACCAATCTTTAACTAAACCCTGATGATTAGATGTGAAAGGAAGCAATAGAAACACTTAGCTTTTCTAAAGTAGAGATGCTAGAACCGGAAAATATTACTGGCAGTAATATAAATTGCACCCAAATGCAAATGGTAGCAAAAAGGAATACTCATAGAATATTAAACACTATAAGTAGTGGTTTATTGACACAAAAATATAAACAATCTGAACAGTCATTGGGGGGGAGGGCAGGGCAGAGAGAAAACAAAAAACAAAAAAACCCACGCAAAACAGTGTCTAGATTGGTGTAAATTCCAGGCATGGAACAGAATACAACCATGTCGTTAGGAGAAATAAAAACCATGATATTTTATGTCAAAAATAAAAATGACTGCCAAATAATAGATGCACAAACCCCACTAGCATTACCAAAAATAATCTATCAGTCACTTTGATACCTAAAGTGAGAGCTTGATGCATCACTAATGGTGTATTAATAGAGCTAAAAACGTGTTATGAAAAATGGAGTTATAACAAATTCATCTGTCCTGCGTGAATACAGCCTGAAGAATGCTGTACTTCAACGCAGCGACAACTCCCTGCATGCAAGTACCAATTAGCAGTTAACGTTTCTCTCACCTATGACACTGGAAACAGCTGCACGCACGTTCTTTCCCAGTATCCAGCCTGGTGGGGGATCACGTCAGAAAACTGAACCCCATGCGGAAAAAAACAGTAACGTCCTTCCTGTATATATCAAGGACGAAACATATACAGCATCCACCCATATCACGCATTAGCTAATCAGAATTATATAACGTGGAAGAGTGCTACACTGGGATTACATGGCTGGAACAAACTTATTGGTGAATCACAATAAATAGAACAAGCAGCTAAAGTACGAGGAAACACCAAGTCAGAAAACTCCATATTATGTTAGAGAACCAACAGCTATTACAATTAAGTGATGCAGAAACCCTGACTATTCACCACTGGTGTATTATGCTTAAAGGATGCTCACAGCTGTATTACAATTAGGTCTTTAACACCCCACAGGTTTTTCTGTATTTCAAATTGCATTGTTAATGATAACACCTGTAAGACACCAATACACTGCACACAGGTTTTCACATCTTAGCACTATGATTAACAATACTGACGATAGCACACCAATTGAAAAAGCATTCTGAAGCCCAGATGACCAATATATTGGAAAGAATCAATATCCATACTAATGCGGTACATTCCAATATGGGTATTGTCCAAACCCAGAGAGAAACGTAAGGACTTGTAACAAAGACATTAATGTTGATATGAATGAAGTAAGAATGTGCGTGTAAACTTGTGTTTAAGCATCAGAAGAGAGGACTCATTAGCAGAAGGTCCTGTGCTCTGACAACGGGAGGATGACAACAAGGTTGCTGCATTTCACATACACAGCTCCTGTTTCTGTTAGCCCAACAGGACAGCAGACTACAGCAAAGCACCATCCCAGGACTTGATAGCTAGCACACGTAGGCCGACGTGTTACAGGCAAGCTAGACCACTTGGGAAAAAAAACCAAAAAGAGTTGGTGCTTGTGAGTGCAACACTGAAGGTGGGTGAACATCAACTTACTCTGACATTTTGTAAATAATTACCACCTTCCCCTTCGACGTAGTCTTTGTTATGCTGACTTCCTACATAAGCAAATCCCTTTATCTGGATAGCTTGAGTTAAATCTTGCAGTAGTACAGTACTTCTAGCTATAATTCCTCAGTTTTTCCTCTTATCTGAAAAGGAATACATATACTGAATAATTAAAGAGCAGTAACGCTTATAAGATACCTTTTTAAAGGGCTACTGAAAACCTTTTAAAACTGAATTTGGAGATTACTTTGTCTATAAAGAAATCCTTTAAGAAGCAGTGAAACATAGCAGTACACAATACTTTGAACGTATGAGAAAGGGGTGCAAGCATGCACACTCTTATCAAACAGGTTTTCATGTTATCAATACCATTATATCTACTTTACTATTATATCTACTATTTTGAAATTAACAAAGATTTTTGACTAACAAATTAACACACATTTTAAGGACACAGAGAAGTATCACCTCACCTAGAGAGAACCCCAAATATTTCTAACTTTACTCAGGTTTACTATTAATTCTAAAGGAAAACAAGACTACAGTTTTACCTGAGACCAAAGATAATCGCTTTACCTGTTGAAAGTTCCAGGGAAGGTACACAAGCCCTCTATCTCGTTTTGAAGATGGGCTTTGACAATAAAATTATACAGAACGTATTTTGTAAACACCAGTTCTCACTAAAAGAAGTCAAATCCAGGTTAGGGACTGATTTAAAAGGAAAAGTAAAATCCTAATTGTTTAGCAGTTAAACAAAAGGCAACTTTGAACATACCCAGCAGTAAGCCATGTGCTGTATCTCCAGGAGACTGCCTTCTAGACACTTCTGCTGAAGGCAACACTCCTTCCTCCAGCGTAGGGAACTCCGTCAGGTCATTTCTATCACACGTCAGGCCAAGCTTCGTCTCTGAGGCAGCAGTTAAATGGCTGGCATCCACTTCTGCTGGAAGCTGATACCATGACTCAATTCTCTAAGAATAGGTGGGGAGAAAAAAGTGCTCAAGCATCAAGGAAGTTTTATAAGGCATATTTCCAAAGGAAATAGACCAAGTTGTGAAACAATGGAATTATTGCTCCTAAATTGTATTTCCTACACAAATACTCAGTTTTTAATGTAAAAGAATTATGATGCGCTATGAACTGCAGAAGTCCACAGTCAGTTCTCACTACTTCCTAAGTTGTCATCGCTCACTATCTGACCACCAGCCTTCCATCACTCGTCTGAAATGGAGCTCCATCTCCAAATCCTGCCACTGCAGAAGACTTTTTCCAAACCAGAATGAAATCTCTCACTTGGAAAGAAAAAACTTGGTAAGGACAAATGCTTTAGTAGGATGTTGGGCCAATACAGTTCCTGACTGTACTACTTTACTACCGCGTAAAGTAGTACTGCGTAGTAAAGATGGTTTGCATCGTACAACTGGGGAGTAACAAGCAGAACAGTTTCTGATTTGCCTTTAAAGAAAGTTTCTAGTTACAGAAATCCTGAGTTCACACAAATAATGCCTGCGAATCCTAGCCAATTCTTTGGTATATTTTAAGAAAAAGACTTTCAGTTCATGTTCAAATGGAAAGGAGCATCTTTAGTTCCAGTAATTCATTAAAGAATTTGCATTGGGATTACTGGGGAAGCAATTAAACAGATAAATTTTAATTATAGAAAAGGCACAGACCAGTCTTCAGTGCAGAGAATTAGGAATATCAATCATTTATAAGGCAAACTGTTATCAGCAGCATGTATAACTTATGATTACATATATGTTAATATAAGAAAGAAATAGCAAGAAATAGCAAGAAAGTGTCCCAGTGAATTGGTAGAAGTACAGTACTATCCCTACTTAATAGCTGCAAGCTCTTGTACCTTTTGAAACACTACTAAGGTATTAAAAGCTACTTTTCACATCAGAATTTTGCTATATGAGCTATAATTTTTGCACAAGATTCTTATAATCATTTGGAAATAAAATTTGTGATCAACTCAGTCTTTTCAAAACACCTGCGATCTCATGCAATTCTCAGAGTAATTAAATATTTGGCAGATAGAACTATTACGACTGTATCACGATGTGAGTACAGTTTCCTTAATCACATATGGAACACGTCATTAAAACTCAGGTCTAAAAGTAGTCAGATTCCACATGCACTGAAGCGCGGCTCTGTGCTAACATGTAAATTGGCTATTTTGAGGTAGACAGATCTGACAATTTAAGAGGCAGTAGCAGGACCAGGATTATAGCAAATTACAAACTGAATACAGATCAAAGATACTGTTGCAAAGAAGAAAACATTACACTGGAAAATATACTAGGTTTATAACCAGAAAACAGAAAGGGAGGGGAAAGGGGGGAAAATAAAAAAAAAAAAAACCCAACCAATCACTAACTACTTGGGATTCAGTTTTGAATGATATGTCAAAAAGTTTTGTAGCGCTTGGATCAAGACTAGACTAGATGACTTCTCAGAGTTCACAACAGCCCTATTCTTCTGTAGTTCCAAGATACAGAAACACAGACCTTTACAGGGCGAGTACAGTGAAGGTCTAAATTATACAGATAAAGCACTTCATATTATTTTCAATCATATAATTAACCTTCAACCACAACCAAAACAAAGCACAGTACAAATACCGAATTAATGGCGGTTTTCTGACATATTGCTTCTCCTAGGGAGATCCCACTGGTAACTGATGCCTGCGTTTCGCTACTGCTGCGGCTTAAGGATTCCTCCTTCCAGCCACGACGTGGTGGAGTTGTTGCAATAGGCTAAAAGAAATAATACGTGTTTTTAAAACAGAAAATAATTTCTTGGTATTTCAACATATGTATATATTTAAGTAACAGACAATGAAATATATAAAATACTTAAGCCATCCCCAACACCGAAAGTTAGGCAACTACCTCAATGTACTTAGGCAGTGACGTAAATTCCATCCAGAGTCCCAAAACTTAACTAAAAGGGGCAGGTTCATTTGCCACTTTAGATCCCAAATAACAGTGAGCATGATTTTCTGCACATTAGCAGAAATTTCTGAGGGCCACAAATTTATTTCTCATTTCCAACCCATGTACATGCAGCTCTGAGTAAATCACAAAATACCAAAAAGACTCATCACCTTGATCAAAGGCAGGTTCTGGCATTTGTCCTGTCTGGTTTATTAACAGTGGTTGTTAGGTTTTTTAATAGCAATTGTTTTATTTATTTTTTGTATCTATTTATTATTTTATTAAAACCAGAAGGTTTTTACTTGTACCAATGTTGTAAACTAAATTTTAAAAGCCATCTTATATATATATCTTAAAGCAAGTCCAGGTTGATTTCTATATTATAATTTAGCAATACCTGACATACTTTGAGGGCATGAATTGAAGTTAAATTGGACTTCTGCCTAGAAAAGCAGCTGTAACATTTTTTTCCCCACGAGGTAACAGAGAAAGCTGTTCTGCAGTCAGAATGAAATTTCTCTCCTATAACATCCCATGCCTGAGGTCACAGTGACTGTAATAGCTTTCCCCAGACAACACAGACAGCCAGGTTCAAACACAGTGGTATATAATTGTGAAAAAAGACATTTCTGGAACACCAAGATTCAGCCCAAACAAAAATGTTCCAGGAAAGTAGTTATCGGCTTAAAAAAAAACCTGGAGACTAGCACTGGAGAATATCAGGTAATATTATTAATGCAGGAATTTAACACGAAGCCTCAACCAGAAGGAGTTACAGCTCCCCCACCTCTTTAATTCCCCTCCCTGCCCTCATCCTCTTCCTCATGTCAACTCTAGTTCCAATTTAACTCGCTAGTAATATTTCTTTAAAAAGCCAAGCTACCCTTGGAGCTATTTTTTAGTGACCAAGCCAGCAAATGGCGGGATCTGAAGAACACTGCTGTGAGCGCAAGCAGGGGCAGGATGAAGCTCCCCGCCACCTACTCCTGTACCGTGAATTATGTATCTACTGTCTGGTGGTATCTGGCTGCCATGAGAATTACAGCGACCCATAATGTGGGCAAGCAACGTGCGAAGGGCAGGAGTAAAAGGTCACAGACTAAGAAAAGGAGAGAGTCAGTGAGAAAGAAGCAAATGATTTCCCAGAAGCCTGCCTTCTACATGAATAATTATAATAATGTTGGATATGTGCCTTCTGTTAGGAAGTCCTCCAGTGACAATTGTCTTTTTTTTTTTTAATAGATTTTCTGAGAAATTGGTCTAATATTCATTTGGAAATTTCCATTCAGTAGTACATATCTACCTTGATACCATTCGCAACCTTTATCAGAAAAAAAGCAAGCCATTAGAGTTTTCACAAAGACATGAATTACATTCTAAGAGGAGAGATCAGACACAAGCTTAGAGAAAAGTCCAGAACACAGACCTGTTCCAATGTAAAAGAAACACGTAAATTTCAGCATTTAAGATTGTTTTCTTTCAATGTGAATACTGCCTACTAGATTAGCTAAATTGACACCTGAATTCTGTTTCATTCTTCTTATGCACAAAAAAGCTGGAAAGGATGTGAATAAAAGCTTAAGATTTTTTTTTAATTTATTACAAGGCTGCTAGTCCATCTTGGAACTTAAGAAAAGCAAGTCCACTCTTGACTATTTATGGCACCTCAGTTGATTGTGGTTCTTATATGAAACATAACAACATCTTCAACCCATCTACAAAAACATAAGTTATAGCCATCACAAATGAATATTTATCCACCTCTTATGTTCTAAAAAGCCACTAATTCTGCCATGGAGACGGTGGATTTACAAATTACAGAGATAAGCTGAGAAAGACCCCTTCAATGTTGACTCACCTGTCCAAGAGACACCTGAAATAATCACCATCCAGTGGCTCAGTTGCCACCTACAGAGAGAGAGAGTTTGGGTCTTCCCTCTAATTCCCAATTACCAGGCATCCACGCTTCCAGGGAATAGCTTGTTTTCACCCTTATTAAGTCTGAGAACATGCGGAGCTGAAGACAGCCTGAACTCCTCTTGCCTTTAAAGCGCATTTGGTCAGGGGACTGCCAAGACCCGCTGGCAGAGCGCCGCACGGACTCCAGTTAGCTTCAGCCCCAATTCTGCCCGTGAACAACAGGTAACCCTTAAACTCCTCCTCCCTGGAAACTGCAGCCCACCTCACTTGTAAGATGGGGTTCCAACTGAAGATTTTTCCTTTTACCCCTTAAACGCCCAGTTTTTCCTTTAAAATAAGACACTTGCTCAAATGTCCGACTGCAAACTAAATATCATCCTTGGGGCAACACCTCTGCATTTTTCAGGCACAGTTACAAAAACCTCAACTCTACATCGTAATCTCACAAATTTTAGCTTTTGGAAGGACAACAGTTTCTAGAATTTCAGTACCATATGCCATCTTAACTTCTTCCAAAAAATAGCATCACTGAAATAAAAACATGACGTAGCTTTCTATACAGGTCAGCACTGTAAAGTAAATTACTTGGAATGGCAAGGATATTTTTGTCCAAGTTTAAAAAAGCGATAGCATGCAAAAGGAAGATGTTTATTACTGATTGTTTGTAAATCACACCTATGAAACCAGGACTCAACCAGGCAGAAGCTACTCTTCCAAATTAATTCCCTGCACAAAGTAAGTCTGTTTGGGCTTTGTATCAGTACTAAAGATAACAATTGTAGCCTGTATGCATATATTCAATCCCTATTGCATTCCCCTGGTTCCTTTTGTTCATACTAATCAAGTCATTAAAAGAAGCAGCACTGAAGTGTATGTGACAATAGCTCTGAAGGCAAAGCATTCCAGTAGCTCTTTGGTAATTTAATTAAGGCCTATTATTGAAAATTTGGTTTTACAATATGCATCTTCAGAAAAGGGCACTTTTATTAATCCAACTGGAAATTAATAGCTTTAGGTACTGGAAATTAGTAGCGTTAGGTAAGAGACCCATACTGCGATTAGAAAAACTAATTCCAAAAAAAAAAGGTACTGATTTTATTTAGATATGCTGAGCATAGCTAATTAAGTGGTTGTTCTAGAGGATATTAGAACAGATGAGTAATGACAGCATTCAAGATGCACACAATGAACAAAAGACTAAACAACCGAACTATGCAGGTTATTCTTCATTCTGCCCTTTAAAATGATCTTCTTTAGCCTATGGTGAGCAATTCCTCTCAAAATCATTTAGTTACTCATATACCTGTCAGCCACTTAAATTAAAATCCTTTTTCTATGCTGCAGCAGTTGCATCGTAGAATTCCCTCACTCTACCCACAAGCATGCCAGAGGAACCACTTCACATGAAGAGAATTCTTCAGTTCCCAAAGCCTACTGATAAACTTGCTTTCAGGGAAAAAAAAAAAAAGTTGACTGGCAACCTAAAGAAAATGTGACCAAGACAATAATTTCATTAAACCTTATAGCTGAACTTTGAATTTGAGCCTTTTTCCATACAACTCCAATGCACCTGAAGTGACATATTCTTTGTCACAACACTCAAGAAAAATAACATGAAAAACATCATCTGAACAGGTTTCTTCTACCTATAGCTTCATATCTTAATCTTTTACCAAAATATTTTATTATAGAATGGAAAAAAAAGCACAATTCACTATCAACTGAAGTCAGCAAGAATCTTCCCTGGAAAAAGGATTTAACTTGAACAAGTCTTGGGCAAATGGGGATAAAATGAGAGTGTAGAAGGATAAAGTACAACTGAGCTTCCACTTTGTGGAAATTTCTTTCCCAGAAGTATTTCCTCCTCCAAAATGCTCCCTTAGCACTTACAGCTTTCAAAACCCATTCATGTCACATTAGAATTTGGAATAGGTTTGACCGGTCTTATTGTGGGAAAACAGAGCCAGAGGTGTATCATATGCAGATCTCTCAAGAAGAAATTGCTGGAGAAATGCTAATGAGTTATGATGCAATTACTACAAATAGCAATATTCTAGAAGATTCAGAGTACAATTATATCCAGCGCTACCAAAGTCTCAAATACTCAGTCACCCAGAAGAGCAGGAAGGAATCCAAGTAGTATTACTATTGCTAAGAGTACTGACATAGCGCCTTCCATGCAAAGACCCAAAAATGTTTCATGAACACTGATTCACAGCACTACTTTTGAATGTACCTGATAAATATTTATCCTCCTTTTACTAGGCACAGAGAACTTAGTGTACAACAATATGGCAAATCAGCGGCAGAGCTGATTCCCCGAGTAGTCTGATCTGACCACAATGCTGCAAACATCTCTTACTTGATGCTCTAGAATTTCAACTGTCTTTGCCTGTAGGTTAGGAGAGAATGTCAAAAAGAAGAACACCTACAGCACCACAAGCCAAGGAGATTAGAGCATGAATGTGAACGTGAAATAACATATGAAATAAGTGTTTGTATCACAATTAGATAATATGATACCCTTTACCTATTTTAATATTTCATGTAAGTAGCCGCTGCCATTGTCACAGTGATGCTATAGCACCATGAACACAAGAAGTGGTCTGCACAGTGGCAGAACTGTAGAGAAAAGATATTTACAGAGCCAATTCCTGTTAAAACATAATTCAAATGATTTTGCAGCCTGCACCTGCCTGATCTAAACAAGAAACATACTTCTTTTTTGATTAAGCAAGCAGAAAAAATATGATGACAGAAAAGCAAGAAACACTCATTGTTAGTCTCCCAACTCCATCCAGGTTTACCAGTTCTGATTTCCAGCTCACTGTTTGTCAACATTTCTTATCAAAATGCC